ACGTACTCGGGGTGCCTGGCCTGGCCGTGGCGTCTGGGGAGACGTACTCGGGGTGCCTGGCCTGGCCGTGGCGTCTGGGGAGACGTACTCGGGGTACCTGGCAGGAGCAGAGCCCCCGGCACTGCAGCCGCGGCTCTGAGACCCCAGACCTCCCCCATGAGCCTGCAGGCAGCCCCGCCCCATCCTCACAGCCCCAGCAAGCGCGCCCTGTGTGACTCCGTGTCCCTGACCCCACACACAACACAGACCCTGGTCAGGTCCCCTAGGACGTCCCTCCCTGCCTCTTGCCAGCCTGCCTCCCATCTGGCCGCGCCCAGCCTCGGCCCCTTCTCATCAATACTCCTGGGGCCTTCCTAACTACACAGTGCTGAGGCCTTGACCAGCCCACACACACACACACACACACACACACACACACCACTTGCAACAGATACAGGCTCCACATACCACCTGATTCAGTGGCCAGCTGCCCCCACCCCACCAGTGCCCACTGAAGTCATGGGGAAGGACTCTGTGCCCGTCCACCCCAGCCCAGGGCTCAGCCCCATGGCAGCACTCTTGCTTTTCAAGGCAAAAACCAGCTGCTTCTGTTTTAGACAACAGCGCGGACTGGCATCTCTGACCTGACCGGCATTTGTCACTCCACAAAAAAAAACAGCCACTTTTTTAAAGGTTTGGGAAGGAGAGGAAAAGGGACCAGAGCCTCTGCCGGCCCACCCCTCCCAGCGGAGCCCAGGCAGGGGCAGGGGTGAGGAGGGAGGGGCAGCAGGGGGCACGGCCTGCGGGCCAGGCCCCCGCCCTCAGGGCAGCGGCCATCCCCGGCAGTGGCCTTGGTGCCCGGCACGGCAGGTCAGCCGGCCCTGGCCGCGACTCCTCTGCGCCAGGCACCTTTAGGCGTTGAAGGCTGGACCTCCTCCGTGCCAGGCACCTGCAGGAGTGGAGCATTTACCATCCAGTAGGACGGACTGCCTGGTGCTCCCGCCGAACTGGGAATGGGGGACGCAGAAAGTGATTGCCAGTACGAGTCTGGGCAAGTGCTGGCAAGTGCGCTGAGAAGCAGGAAGAACGGGGCGGGGTGAGTGATGGTGGAGAGCCCCCTGCCCGCCGGAGACATCGGGTGAGGCATGGCGGGAGCCCCACGCCCGGCCCGCGAGGGTCACTGTGGGGGTCTGGGGGCCGAGGGGGGAGCTGATCCCAGTGGACACAGAGGCGAGGCAGGAGTCAGGAGAGAGGCCGTGTGCTGCGGGCACAGGCAGCCAGGGCTCCCCCCCCCCGCGCTGGGCCCCGGGGCTGCGCTCTGACCCAATCCCTGACCTTCCTGCAGCTGACTTTGGGCTCCGCAGGGGACAGAGGGGAAAGGGGGGAGCGTGGGAGCCGGTCCCCTCGGCAGAGCTGTGACGCAGCTGTCCTCCCCGGCGGCCGCAGGCGGGCCGGCGTGTCAGCCTCCCTTCTCACCCCCTGGACCCGTGGCTGTGACACCCGTAAGCTCCCTTCTCCCCACAGCCTGATGCAGGAAGCCCCCGGGAAGGGCAGCAGCACCCTACCTAGGGCAGGAAAGAGAGCCAGACACACTAAGGCCAAAACCACACCGTGCTCAATGCAAGCCGGCGCTGGCTAGACAGGAGACAGAACTGGACTGTGTGTGAAGAACGGACGGCGAGGGACGGAGGGAGGCCGGAGGGGCAGTGTGCTGGCCTGAGCAGTGTAACTGTCCCTGTGACTCTTCCAGTGCTCACCGGGCTTGGCCATGCCTGGCCAAGCCCCAGGCTCTGTGATTGGCTGACAGAGGCACGTGTGACCCAGCCTGACACAGAACCGTGGCTGGCCTGACAGGAGGGTGGCAGAAGAGAAGCCAGGAGCTGGCAGCCTCGCTCTGGTCTCTTGGGTGCCGAACACCAGGGAACGAGCCCAGCCCCCGGCCAGAGAAGCCGTGTGGATGTCCCCAACAGCCCAAAGCCAGGAGAAAACTCCAACGGCCCCTGCTGAGGCCACACAGGGCAGAGCAAAGATCCAGCCCGGCCCAGCCCCAGCGCCAGCCCCTCAGAAACTGATGGCCGGTACTGTGCTGAACCGGACGCAAGTGGAGGTGTCACTGTCTAGCACACGGGGCGGGGTGCTGAGGCAGGAGGTGCCCGGGGTGGGGGAGCAGGGCTTTGCGAGCCCCACCAGCTGTGGGGGGGCCCCAAGCCTGGACGGGGATGCTGGCGATGCGGCTCATTGGGAGGGGCTCTCAGGAGGAGGGAAAGAGAGGCCAGAGAGGGACCAGCTCACCAGAACAGGGGTCCAGCGAAGTCCAGCGGCAGCCCCGGGAGGAGGGGAGCCCCGCGGGTGAGGGGCGCACAGGCCTCCCTTCAAAGGAGCATTACCCGGTCATGGGACAAAGACCTGGGACAGATCGCGCAGGCATGGCGGGGTGACGTTTGTCCACCGAGGGCAAGCAGCGGGAGGAGGCACAGGTGTGGGCCGTTCGTAGCTGGGCACCAGGGCAAGTCCGTGAGGGGACCGGAGCCTGGCCCGGCCCCTGCAGCCACCCCGTCTGCCCACCCCAGGACACACAGAGCGTGGCCGCTCAACAGCGGGTCCCATGGCTTCGACCTCGGCAGGGAAGCATCTGCAGTGGCCTGGAAGCCCCCGAGGCCTGCAGAGGCAAAGACGCCCAAATGGAAACCGGTGTTGGAGCGGTGCCCTGAGGGTTCACACCTGTAACCCCACCTGTTCAAGGGCTGAGACGTGAAGATCAATGAGTGAAGCAAGCCCAGACAGACAAAGCCAAAAGACTCTTACCCCAAATAACCAGCAACAAAAGCCAGAACTGGAGGCCTGGTTCAAGCAGTGGAGCACCAGGTATGCGTGAAAAAGTCAAATGAGAGAGCAAGACCCTATGTGCAAGCCACAGTACTGGAGAAAAAATAGTAACAATAGTAATGGTATTTGATCTGGCCACAGTGCCTCAGACCTGTAAGTCTAGCTACTTGGGAAGCAGAACTCAGGAGAGCTGCAGTTTGAAGCAACCAAGTCCAAAACAGAAAAGCCCACGAGACTCCTCACCCAATGGCTGGGCACGGAGATCTATTTCTGACACACCAGTGACACAGGGAATCACAAACAGAAGGTCGCAATCCAGGCTGGCCGGGGTGTAAAATAAGACTTATCTCAAAAGAATCACCAGCACTGTAAGATGCGGTACACACGGCCGAGGCTATAGAGCACCCACCTAGCCCTGAGCTGAACCCCAGTATCACCAACAAACTATGGATGTGTGTGTGTGTGAGAGAGAGTGAGCTGGGAATCGGTGCAGGGTGTGTGTGTGTGTGTGTGAATGAGCTGGAAATCGGTGCAGGGTGTGTGTGTGTCTGTGTGTGTCTGTGTGTGTGTGTGTGTGTCTGTGTGTGTGAGAGAGAGTGTGTGAGAGAGAGAGTGAGCTGGGAGTTGTGGGCAGGCCCACAATCCCCGTCATATGGCAACCCACGGGTCCATCGATGGACGCATGGGTCCAGAAAACACAGTCTGTGCAGACAATGGGATGTGGCCCGCTGTGGGAGGGAGGCATTCTGATCCGGGTACAACCGCGTGGACAGGTCCGAGGACACTCAAAGGACACGAGGCGTGTGAGGTCTGTAGAGGGATCACGCTGAGGCGGCTTTGGGGATGGACAGTGGTGATGGCACGCGGGGCTGGGCACGCGCATGTCCCAGAGCCAAAAGTGAGCAGTCACGTTACAGGGAGAGAAAGGGGAAGGAAGCCCTGACAGGAGATGAGGGCCGCCCCCGAGGCCTGCCCTTAGTAGCCAGCTTCCTGGCAGCCAATGCCAAAAGGGAAATTAGAGGGTGACCCGGCGCTCCTTGTCTGATAAGAGGAAGTCATCTAGTTCCCGGGGGAGAATAGACCAGCTCTTGGCCTGCAGCGCCAGCCAGGACTTGGCTGCTGATGGGCTCATATTTATTATCACTTCCCCAGCCCGGCACAACGCCTAGCCACCGTCTGTCAGTGTCCAGGGATGCTGA